CGCCCGTTACCTATGGCACTGAGACCACGCTCCTGCCCGAGCTCCTGTGGGACCTCGCTGCCTGCCCGCCCGCCTGCACATGGAGGCAGCAGGCAGCACTCTTCCCCTTCCCAACGCCAAGCAGGGGTACGGCTCAGCTGTACAGGAGGTGGCTCCGTGCCACTAAGCTATGCTACAGAGCTGCCACAAGCTGCCAGTGATCTAATTTATTAAGGGCTTTGAATCCTTGCAAAGAGTATGTTGGATACATGCAAAGCATCTGCATTATCACTATGATTAGGGCAGCGGAGGTGGAGGAAAGGGGAAGGAGGGAAAATACAATTTTTCTGCTTTCAGCAGAAAATAAATCAACTTTCACAGAGAGTTCTGGCGCAGCCAAAGGCTGTGCTACCATTAAAAATGATTTTTTATTAAGCTGAACTCTCTCCTCTCTCATATTGTATGATATGACAGCTCTCTTTTGATGGGAAAGCTTTCATTTGGCCAAAGAAAGGGATAATTTGCTTCTTTTAAGGAGTTAATCCTCTGGTCCATTTCCGGGCTGGGAACAGCTATCCTCCCCCTTCCTTGGATCGGAGGCGGCAGCACAATGGAGATCATAACCACCTCAAATCTACACCCGAGATGGAGAAATCAGATTTCCTTCTCCAGTCATTTTTGTGGGATTAGCTAAATCTTAGACCCACACTAACCCTTCACAAAGCTGCCAAGATTAGTTAGAATTTATTTTATTCACAGGGGGGTTTATGGTTTTCTTTCCAAAGGGATTATATCTTTCTCTCTATATATATTTAGGGTGGCTTCAGTCATAAAGCAGCTAGGTTAGAGGGAGAAAAAGTGTGCGTGCGTATAAAATAAAAACTCAGCTGCAAGAATGACAGTCACTTGAAATGCCAAGACAAAGCAGCAATTCTGGATGGCTTCACCGGTTCGGTTTAAAAGCTACATAAGCTGTCTTTTTCCTTGCGAGACCCCACTCCAGAGTTAGTGCACGGAGAGCAAACCCTGCTCAGTGTGAGCTGCCCGTTCCCGCGGCTGCTGCTGCCGGCAGAGGATGTCTTTGGAGCCAGCGTCGGATGCTGACACTGGCAGGCGAGGCCTCAAGAAGCCGTGTTCATTCAGCATCGAGGACATTCTCTCCAGCCCAGCAGAGAAGAGCCCCCAGGTCCTGGTCCCGCTGTGCCTGCGGGGCATCTTGGACTGCACGCCCAAGGGGCTGTGTGAGCTGGAGGCCGTCCCGGCCAGCTCCCTGCAGGAGGAAGAAGAGGAGGAGGAGGAAGAGCTAGAAGGGGCAGGCTGCAACTGCTGCTGCTGTTCTCACACGAGCACCCGTTCCCGGCAGGACTTGCCGAGTTGGCTGGGTGAGTGTTTGGGTTTGTATCACGGCATAGCGTAGGGCTCGTGGAGGGGCTGGTGCCGGTGCCGGGTATAGGGGAAAACCTGGGCATGGAGTGACAATATAGCGTCTGGCCTGTCCCCGTGGTGGTCTTCTCAGACCCCAGCTCCGGCGAGGGGCAGCAGGACCCATTCTCAGCATAGCTCCTAAAAGCAGGCACTTTTACCTGCAATGCTACCAGGTTTTTAAAAGCAGCAGGGGCTATCTATTACTATATATTACTGTTTTATTGTAAAACACTTGAGAGGATGATGCTTCTAGGGGTGGAAGTTCTCTGTGGAGTGTGGAGCCCCATGGTCATGCTGCCCACGTGCAGAGCTGTGCCTGTGCTTCCTCACAACACCGGCCCTGGGGAACCTCACTTGTCCTTTAAGGAAAAGAGGTTTTGGCTACATCTAGCAAAATTACTGCATCTAGAAAAAAAAAAAAAAGTAACAAACCCTTAAAAACGCAGTTCAAGAGCATCCTGAAAGTTCAGAAATCCCCCGTGTCATGACTGACACACAGCTCCTAGCCGGGCTGTGAGTTTCCATCCATTTTCTGGAGCTGGCCATAGTGCAATTGGTAAGTAAACAAGGAAAACCCAACCAGTGCTCCCTGAATGCACACTTCTCTCTAAGTGATGCCCTAAGCCCTTCTCTCACTTGCACGGTGACCATGCAGCTCGTCACCCACGCCAGCTGGCCGGCTGCCTCCTTCCAAGCCACGTGTGTGGATGCAACCTGTGTCTGAACTGCCTTGAGCAAGACGGGTGTTTCAGCCCCTCACCCCTAATGCTGCCGCTGTACCTCTCCCCCTGCAGACACCCAGTTCCCCTGGCCCATGCAGCTCTTCCACTCGGCGGTCAGGGTCTGCAAGAGTTCCCAGGGGAGCCCGAGCAAGCTGCAGACTTTCCACCAGATCCAGCGCCGGACGCGCCGGCATCGCACCATATTCACCGAGGATCAGCTGCAGGCCCTGGAGACGCTTTTCCATCAGAACCAGTACCCAGACGTCATCACCCGCGAGCACCTGGCGAACCGCATTCACTTGAAGGAGGAGAGGGTAGAGGTGAGATCCTGCCACTGGGTGAGGTGGTGTTTGCTGCAAGCCCCTGAGAACACAGACCGGGGCACTGCACTGTCTTTTTTGGCAGCTGCAGACCCAGGGCCTCATTTTAAAAACCATTCTTGGGTATTATTTGACAAAACACAGTTTAGATGTGGCAAGCAACGGAAGAATATAAACCAGTTCTGCTAGCGTGATTTGTTCTGGTATCCAGTCCCGTAAACTCACTCCCTCTGTCTCTCCTAGATTCACCTGTACAAACAGACATGCCCAGTTCTGCTCATCCCCTGCACCCGAGTGTGTATTCCTTATTTATGTGATCTGTGTGACGTCTGAATTTGCCATGGGGGGGGTGTCCCAGCTCCCTTGTGCCCCTTCCATGTATCTGAGCAGGATTGCAGGGGAGGGGCTGATTAAATTTTGTGTGAAAAATTTGTATCAAGAAATATATTCCAGTATCCTAAAGCTTATGCTGTGCAGCCCAGGAGTGTAACTGCCTGCCCCCCTCCAAGTAACACATAAAATGCAAAAGTTCTTTTTTCATTTTGCGCTTTCTAGGTTTGGTTTAAAAATCGGCGGGCCAAGTGGCGGCATCAGAAGAGGGCGTCTGCTTCAGCACTGATCCTTCAAGGCACCAAGAAGCCCTCTGAGGAGAGCTGTTAGTGGTCGCAGGCTGCATCTCAGCAGATGAACGCCGAGAGCATCCATTTCCCGTAGCTGACAGGTTCCCTAGGGCAGTAGCCCAACGGCGACTAATGGAGCAAAAGGGAATCTCCGTGATTCCCAGAGGAGGAGGACAGGCAGAAGCAGGCATGGTTCTTTCGCATCCCCGTTTCTCTTCCAAACCTAGTTCATGTGGCAAATAACTCACCCTCAGATGCTTAAGCAGAAACCACTGCCAAAAGCCCGCGCGGGGGACAGAGCTGTACCGGTGTTAAATGTGTGTGCTTCAGGAGAAGGGGAGACTCCCCTTCTTGCCTTTGCTCTGTGCAGGTAGTATTTGTGCTTGTTTTACCACTGTAGATTTGCAAAATACCCTGCAAATGAATATTTCCTATTTTCAGCACCGGTGCTGCTGGGGCTGAGCTTCCCGAACGGGCGATGTGCTCCGCAGCGAAGACAGGCGCATCTCTCCCTGCCGCCCGGGGGAGAGGCGAGGGGCTGGCACAGCCCGCGGCCGGCTCGGTGTCCGTGTCCCCGGCAGCGCCGGCGAGACACCGCGTCCTGTAGAGCAGCGAGATAAATAAACCCGTCCCCGTCGCCTCCGTGCGTGCTGCGAGAGCCGCGGTGGGGGCCCCGGCC